TATATATATATATAAGAGTTAAGCAGGTCTCCGTCAACATGCCTACTTGTGCTATGTGAGTATCTTGGTCATTTTACATTACATTCTCTTAATCTATAATAGAGATTTATCTCTAGCCTTCCTTGTGGATTTCAAATGACGAAAAAAATCAGAAATATTCAGTTCCCAAAGTACGCAACCTAATAGAATTCCGTTTGATTCCTAAAGATCAGGTTTCCCAAATTGCTTCTACTTGGTCTGCTGACTCACACTCCTGAGAGAACGCCATCTGTTGTTTTTTCTTTTGGGTGAACGGTGGGCAATATCAAATATTACTTTTCTTCCCCTACAATTTTCAATCAGTTTACACTCTGTTTGTTGTTAGTTTCGCTCTGTTCTTCGGCTTTGTTGCTGCTACTCTTTTGATCACTTCCAGGTGAGATCAATTTACCCTATACTAATTTTATTATCTTCGTGCTCTTCTCTTTCTATGTGGTAGCTTCTGTGTTTCCGTTTTAGCCTCTGCTTGTAGGTGTTTGAGAAAATTACTCAACGAATTAGGCTTTTCTTTTATAGTGGGGTGTACTGATCAAATTTGAGGCGAAGCATTTAGACATTCCTTAAATTTTTGAACTAAAAATTAGCAAGAAATTACGTTGAACTACTAAAAATTAAAATCTTGGAGGAGAAAAAATGAAGATTAAAAATATGAAGAAAGACTAAAATTGCAGCAGGAAAATGATAAAATAATTTGTAGGAGCCTTTGATTAAGTGATACAGTGCATTTGGACTGATGTTCCAGCTTACCTGTAGAGCAAACGGGTTTGCTTTTCAAATTTTCATAATTATTTAAATTTTACTGCTCTATATTGGTCTATTTCCAACTCTCTCTAATTTGTTTTGCTTCTTCAAGTTTTCCCACAATTTTAGTTGGTACAAATCCTTCACAAGTCTCACTTACCTTAAATCATCCGAAGTTTTGTCCTCTCTTGAATCTTCTTACTTTTTCTTTAAGTTATTCCTAAAAAAGGTTTAAAGAAAGGAATTTCAGAAGACATTATATTATAGTTGGTGATAATTTAGAAGTATATAATAAAGAAAAGCGGAGCAAAAGTTTAGCACTATATAGCTGTTGAAACCTTTTTAACTACTTTATATTGGAGAAATTCTTTTACATGGTGATTTCCACAAAATTCATCTTAAATTATTGAATGAGTAATTTTTATAGTTCAGATGATCATTGGCTTTTAGCTCTTAGAGGAGTGACATTAACTTGATGACTTTTATGAATATTCGGACAATGGATTTTTAACGAAAAATGTGATTTGCCTATTTTGCTTTAATGACTGATGCACACTGTTTGCAGGTTTCTGGAATTAACGTCCGATTACTCTGTCTAACTACTCCGACTTTATAAGGTAAGATAATAGAAAGCATCAGTTCCCCACCAAATTATTCAATTTTGCCTTTCACTTGATATCTTTTTGGAGAAAGGGTGTAGTTTATTTTTTAATACTGCTTACATTGGATGAGTATAGATGTCGGAGGATAAAAAAGATGTGCATATATCATGTTCAGGACAAAAGAACAAAAGTCCATGCTTGACAGATAGAAGTGCTGAAATGAAATTCAATCGTCGTAAAAAATATAAGGAAATATCAGCGGATAGAAAGGAAGCATTATTGTTAAACCGCCGTATGAAAGAGCTCGATTCAAGAAAATGTCTTCTAGAAAGTCGAACTCTGGATAACTTAGTCAAATTAATATCTCTAAGTAATTCAACGCTTCAAAGGGAGAGTGCTCTCATGATAAGAGATTTTTCTCTTACTTCAAATCAAGGTTAGCAAATTAAACTTTCGCTCTTTCTGTTAAAATGCAGTCAGTTTAAACTAAATATGTTTCACGCGTCTTTATTAGCTGCTAAATGTGAAGTTAGTACTTTACCTGCTGCTTCTGCGAAAGGAAAAAGTTTAGTTGATCATTTTTCCATCTTCAAAACAGGCGAGTATATGAAGCATATTATTTTAATAAAATTTCTATTGACGTAAACCATTTACTTATGTAATTCACAATTGCATCTATATTAGGATCCACATCAGGTACATTTAATGACCGATGTGGTGTTGGTTTAGAGAATGTAGCAAATAGAGGTTTGTATCACTCTCAAGTTAGAATAATATTCGTTATCTTCCTTTGGAGTAAAAATTGACTCCTAATTATTTTCGTAATATTCAGGAGTTAGACTACGTAGAAGAGCCCCTCTGCACATTATTGGTTTGCAAACTGAATATGTTTCTCTCAAAGTTGTCCCAATCTGTAAATTTTGTGCTGCAAAAAGATTTCAATATGAACCTCCTAGATTCTATTGCAATAAAGGTTCAATCAAGCTTACTTCACATGAAATGCCTATAGAGCTACGAGAATTAGTTTTGGTTACTACTAAAGAGTTTGACCATTTTCGAACATATGTTAGGACATACAATAACATGTTTGTATTTACTTCGCTCGGGGTAAAATATGACAAAGACTTAGCTAAGAGAAATTATGGTATCTATACATTTAGAATTCAAGAAAAAATGTATCACTTTATAGATGATTTATATCCTGCGAACGAGAAAGGAAGAAATTTACAGTTATACTTCTACGACAATGAAAATGAGGTAGCAAACAGAATTGCTTGTTAGAGTACATGAGTCAATGATTAGAAAATTGATGAATATACTACAAAATAATCCATATAGTGTTTTCTTGAAATCTTTGGCAGATGTTCCGGAATTAGCAAACTTTTATATTGCGCTCAAATGTGACTCAGGTTTAGATCAACGAGTATATAACTTACTTACTGCATCTGAAGTTGCAGCAATAATGGTGGAAGAAGGGGTTCATATTTCCACACCTCATATTCGAATTTATACTCACAGCAATAAAAGCCAATTAGTGAACTATTACTATGGATGTTATGATCCTTTGCAATACCCACTATTATTTCCATATGGTCAAGATGGGTGGCACTGTGGTATAAAGAAAATAGTACAACCAAAGAATACTACTAGATGCCGTGTCTACTATGAACATGAAAATTTACCAAGTGTTGCAAACATGTGTTCAATTGAAAATTTTCTTGATATGGAAGCTCAGGTACTAGAACAACAAAGAAAAAAAAGAAATATTGTCTCTTATCGTGAATATTATTGTTATAAAATACAAATAAGAGATGATGAGACTGATGAAATCTTACATACTGGAAGGGTATTCCAACAATATATCGTAGATGTATTCATAAAACTTGAAACACAATGACTAAACTTCTTCTCTTTCAATCCAGAGTTTTTTAGAATTGAAGTTTTGCAAGGTATTCTTGATGTCTTAAGACAAGGTGAAAGAGATGCTTCTAGAATCGGAAAACAAACTTTCCTTCCTGTTACATTTACAGGGGGACCAAGAGATATGCGCCAGCGATATATGGATGCTATTTCTTTGGTACAACGTTTTGGAATACCTGACTTGTTTCTAACGATGACATGCAACCCATTATGGCTAGAAATAAAAGAATATTTGTTATCTACTGATGAGGCACAAAATAGACTTGACTTAATTAGTCGAGTATTTAGAGCAAAACTGGAAGAGCTAAAAAATGCTATATTAAAAAGAAATATATTTGGAAAGGTTGTTACTTTTATGTACACTGTAGAATTCCAGAAACGTGGTCTTCCACATGCACATTTCCTTATTATTCTTGCTAATGAATACATATTGTTGACACCTGAGTCTTACGGCAGAGTTGTTTGTGCTGAATTACCTGATCCTGATAAAGAGCCTTACTTATACTCACTTGTTGTACATTATATGATGCACAGTCTTTGTGGTCATTTGAATCCTGCAAATTCATGCATGCAAAATGGATATTGTAAATTCAACTACCCTAAGATTTTGCTGATCGAACATCAAAAGGAAAAAACTGTTATCCATGAAGCAATAAAAATTAGAGAACAATTTCTCGATAATTCATGGATGGTACCATATAATACTTTTTTACTTGGAAAGTTTAACTGTCATATGAATATCAAGATATGCTCAGATATTAAAATTGTCATGTATCTTTACAAGTACATATGTAAAGGTCACGACAAAATTTCTTTTTCTATACATGACAATGATAAAGACAAAGAGATTGATGAAATAAAAGAATATCAGTTTGCTAGATGGGTATCTCCACCCAAAGATATACGGTATTTATTTGGTTTTTCTATTAGTGAGATGACACCAAGTGTTTATCATCTTCAATTATACCTTGAAGGACAACAATATGTTTCTTTTAAAATCACTAAGAGTATAAATGCAATTTTAAAAAAATTTATGATTAGAAAAACAATGTTGACAGATTTGTTTGTCATGAACCAAATAGATGATTATGCTATAGAACTTAAGCAACTAAATAAAGAGATTCCAGAATACTTTGTCTGGTTAGTTACAGATAAGACATGGACACGTCGAAAATAACGTATCGTTATTAGATGCATTGTGACATGTCATCCAACAGAAGGTGAGATATATTATCTCAGACTATTATTACTGAATATGAGAGGACCAACATCATATGAAGATCTCCGTACTGTAAATGGAAGAAGTTATATTACATTTAGAGAGGTTGCTGAAAAAGAGGATTATTACATTCTGACAACAGTTTGGTTGACTATATGATTGAAGCTGCAAACTATCTAATGCCATATAGTTTAAGACGATTATTTGCTACGCTATTGGTATATTGTACTCCTACTAATCCAAAAGAGTTGTGGGAACAATTTGAAGATTCAATGCCCGAAGACTTCAAATGCTTGCCAAATGATGGATTTAAAGATATTCATCATAGAGTCCTGAACTAGATCAATGACGAATTACAATCGATGGGACACGACATTAACAAGTCCAAACTTGTTGCAGAAAACATTAGAGCTTTTGCAATTGCAAAAGAGGCAAAAGAAGTTCATTTTGAGAGAAGCCTAAGAGTTTCCGAACAAGATTTATTATTAGAGAAAAAACTAAATATAGATCAACGAAGAGCATACAATATGATTGTTGATAGAATATTTTCCAACAAATCAGGAGCTTTTTTTATTGACAGGCCAGGAGGAACTGGTAAAAATTTTTTATATCGAAGTTTGTTGGCTACGATAAGATCTAAGGGATTTGTAGCACTAGCAATTGCAACTTCTAGTGTTGCAGCTTCTATTCTTCCTGGAGGGCGAATAGCTCATTCGCACTTTAAGATACCTATTGATATTGATGAAAATGTTGGTTGCAATATCAGTAAGCAAAGTTCACTTGCATGTTTAATTCGGGACGCAAAATTAATTGTATGGGTGAGGCATCAATGGCTAAAGGGAAAACGATTGAAGCTTTTGATTTACTTTTGAAGGATCTAATGGATACTAAGATGCTCTTTGATGGAAAAGTAGTTGTGTATGGAGGTTATTTTAGACAAACTCTTTCAGTTGTTCGAAATGAAAAAAAAGAAGACTTCATTTCTGAAAGTTTACTATACTCTAAAATTTGGAATCAACTAGCAAAAACTACAGCTATCAGAGAATATGCGTGCAAGAACAAATCCTAGATTTTGTGAATATTTGATGAGAATTGGAAACGAAAAAGAAAGACTTGATGCCCAGCAAAAAGTTCTAATTCCTGACTCTTTGATAATTCCTTTTACAACTGAAGAAGAATCCTTGAATGAGTTATTTGAGGTAACATATCCCAATAAAGATTCCTTATTTCACGATTCTTCGTCCATAGCTTCTTGTGTGATCTTGACAACAAAAAATGATTTTGTTCATGAAATAAATGATATGCTCATATCTAGTTTCCCAAAAGATGCTAGAACATATGTTACAATTGATGAAACTGTTGAACCGAATGACCAAAGTCAATTCGAAAATTATTTGCATACTTTAAATCCTGTTGGTTTGCCTCCTTACAGATTGACTTTAAAAGAAAATTGTCCAGTAATGTTACTACAAAATTTAAGTCCCTGTGAAGGTTTACGTAACGACACACGGTTAATATGTTGTAGTTTTAAAATACATGTTATAAGTGCCAAAATTGCTAACGGTGATTTTCAAATTATACATGTTTTTATTCCAAGAATACCACTATTAGAATCACAAGATGAAAAAATTCCAATTGCTTTTAAAAGAACACAATTTCCAATACGCTTGTGCTTTGCTATGACTATAAATAAAGCTCAAGGTCAAACTTTGAATTTTGTTGGAATTTATTTACGTGAACCAGTTTTTTCCCTTGATTAACTTTATGTTGCTTTATCAACAGCTAAAAATTCAAAAGGTGTGAAACTATTAATTCGACCGCAGACTTCAGACACCGAGGATGATCACTCAACGTATAACATAGTTTATGATAAAGTTATTCAAAAAGCTTTCAATTAACTGATGCCAGGTAATAATTTTTATGCTTCACATGTCACAAAAATAATTGTGATGTTCACTCTATACAACTCTATTAAATTCTAAAATCATTTGTACCTATTTGGCACTTTCTATTTTATTAATTGTTATTGTTGATGGTTTAGGTGTATTATTTGATGGAAAATATGTGATATTTGTAGCAAAAATACTCAAGTAAGAATTCTAATGGGCAACAGCTGAAAGAGTAATAATTTTGGTCATTTCGTTGATATTCTCTGTAGAGAACTACTTGGTTCTTTTAAAAGAAATTAAAGATTTGATTCTTTGTCAGTAAAGAATATAGGTTTTTAACTTGATTTTGGTGAAATAAGAAAGTTTGTAAAAAAATGAATAATATTTTCTCTAATGTCTAGAGTTACCATTTAGCATAGCCCTGCTATTATCTGCTTTACTACTCTTATTACTTGTAGCAGGATTTTCTTATTTGTGTTTCTTCTGATGTATTGCTCCAGTGCCATCCGCACCACTGTTCAATTTTTTCTATGTTTTACCCCTCCTTTCAGAACCTAGCAATGCCATTGTCACGACTCGGATTTATCACCCTCGGGAGTCGTGATAGCGCCTACTAACGAGAGCTAGGCAAGCCAATCCTTAAATGCTTACTTCGTTAACAATTACTTCTTTTAACAATTATTGGCGATAGCATGAAAGCAACGGAATTAAATAAATATGCGGAAGACTTAAATTTAAAGAAAACAATAATGCGAGAATCAACATATGCCTCTACCCAAGAACTGGTGTCACATTACTCACGAACTTCTAAGAGTGCTAAATACAACCGTTTGAAAGAAAATATAAACTGTTTGTCTCGAATATATGAGATAACATACGGAAATAAAAGATAGAGGAGACGCTAGGCTTGCGAACGCCTGCAAGGCTACCTCAGTGTCTCACTGGACTAAAGGCTGGCTCCCGCGCTACTGCTGCTGTCCAAAACCTGGATCTGTGCAAAAGAGTACAGAGCGTAGTATCAGCACAACCGTCCCCATGTGCTGGTAAGTGTCTGACCTAACCCCAGCGAGGTAGTGACGAGGCTAGGACCAGACTCCAGATAAACCTGTACAGTTATATAATATATGGCGGAAAAGTAAACAAGTAATAAGCAGTTAAAGCTGGGGAAGTGGAACATGTTTCCGGGATAGCAGTTAAAAGAAATAAAAGGGAATAATAAGGAAGCTAGCACTATAACTTCTATCGCAAATGAAGAAAATAAAGGCAACTTTAACTTTCAGTTTCCTCTTGTTGCAGGCGTGCAACCCGATCCCATTTCTCATATCTCGTGGTAGGCGTACCACCCGCTCCCATTTCATTCTATCTCGTGGTAGGCGTACCACCTGCTCCCATTTCATTATATCTTGTGGTAGGCATACCACCTGCTCCCATTTCAAAATATCTTGTGGTAGGCGTGCCACCCGCTCCCATTTCATCAATCTTGTGGTAGGCGTACCACCCGCTCCCATTTCATAATATCTTGTGGTAGGCGTACCACCCGTTCCCATTTCATAATATATTGTGGTAGGTGTACAACTCGCTCCCATTTCAAAATATCTTGTGGTAGGCGTACCACCCGCTCCCATTTCAGTTCATCACACAATCACAAGAAATCCCGGCAAGGGAACATATGTGATATACGATGAATTTTCTCTCATTATTGTTGATCGCTATCTGGTACTGGGATTATTTTAATTTAGACGGATCTATGTTACAAGATTATGGTTATCTACTGAGAATATGTTGGATCTCTGACTTTTTATAAAATTGTTCTTGATAAATAAAAAAGCTTATTAGTGGATATTTATTTGATGAGTAGTGCAAAACGAATCAACCACAATAAAATGATAGCTACTGCAACCTATAGTTGAGTTTAAAAAATGAACACAATAACATGTAATTTGTTTAATGGAGTTCAAGAGTTTTGAAGAACTATACAGATAAATTTGTTCTTGTCAATATCTACAATTAACTATGTATACCTCAAATTTGATAGCAATATTAGCAAGAATCTCAGTCTCCTCTGCTTATAGTAAATAACTATGACATAAACCGTGAAATCTTCACAATTATATGATGTTCTAACTGCTACATTATCACCATATTAATATTAGTCAATGTGTTTCGCGAGGACCGACCACTCCTGTAAGTTAATATGTTTTCAATATTATTATTTCTTTTGTTTTGTTTGTTTACTCTTTTATCAACTATATGTATTTTGCATCAGTTCATTTTGTTAGTTGTCTCTTAACTTTTTGAGGATGATATGATCTATAACGTTTATTATGCTCAAATCAGTTTGCAAAGCCTATATGAGTTCTGCTATATGGATTTGCAAGACAAATTTCATGCTTTGAATGTTCTCACTCTTGAACTTATACTGACATTTCTGTCTTCATCTGACGCTTGTATCTAAATCTACTTCACTCGCTCCACCACGAAAAAAACGAATGCGTCTTTTTTGTACTTATTAATCATTTTATTTAATAAAATTTTGTTCCTGCTATTAAGCTAACTTGATTTTATAATGTTTCTATTAGCTGTTCTGTTCAATGAAGATCTTTAATGTGCCCTCTCGATGAATTTATCTTATGCAGTAATGGTACTCAAAAGTTGTTGGATATCGTGGTTGTTACTTGTAACGACCCGACTGGTCGTTTTGAGAAATTGCGCCCGATTCGGTAATTTGAGGTCTCGAGCAGCTTCACATTAGGTTTATAGACTTGTGTGCATAGTTGGATTCAATTTTCGGATGAATCAAAGTTGAATTGGAAGAAGGAACCCAGTTTTGGAAGTTTAAATAGTGAAAATTTGACCGGAATTGGGCTTTTGGGTAAACGGCCCCGGAATGGGTCATGGGTGATTTCGATAGCTTCGTATGGTGATTTTGGACTTAGGTGCGCGTCCGGAATCGGATTTGGAGGTCCATAGGGTAAATTGAGGCATTTCGGCGCAAGTTAGAAAAGTTGAAGATTGAAAAATGAAGAAGTTTGACTCATAGTTGACTTTTGTGATATCGGGGTTGGAATGCAATTTCGAGAGTTGGAGCAGCTCCATCATGTTATTTTGGACTTGTCTGCAAAATTTGGCGTCATTCCGGGTTGATTTGATCGGTTTCGACACAAGTTTTCGAATTTGGAAGTTCATAGTTCGATTCATGGTGTGATTCGTCATTTAGGCATTGTTTGATATGATTTGAGACCTCAAGCAAGTCCGTGTTAGGTTATGAGACTAGTTTGTGAGTTTAGATAGGGTCCCGGGGGCCTCGTGTGTCCCTCCCTTCGCGTTCGTGAAGCCCTGCATTTTCCTTCTTCGCGTTCGCGACATTCCCTACGTGTTTGCGTAGGTCCCTGCTCTTCTTCTCTGCGTTCGCGAGCTCATTATCGCGTTCGCGATGAGCAACCTGGCAGCTTGTCACGACCCTAACCTCGAACCCGGTCGTGATGTCGCTTCTTGTGAAGACAAGGTCAGCCAGTCTAACACAATTCATCCTTTTAAGTAGTTAAATGGCATAAGAATAGTTCAAACATGATTTAATAGCACAATTAGCGAAAATAGAGATAACAAAGCAGAATTCCAACTCGACACAGCCCTAATCGGGGTGTCACAAGTCACGAGCATCTACTAAGGTCTAAAATACAACAAAGTCCTGAAATAGGCTAAATACAAACTAATGAATGAAGAGAGAGAAAAGCAGTGCTGCGAACGCTGGCAGCTACCTTGCTAAACTCCGATAACTCTTCCTTCGATAAGCCAAAACCCGCTACCGGGTGTACAAATACCTAAATCTGCACACAAGGTGCAAGAAGTAAAGTAAGTACTCCAACTCAGTGAGTAATAATCATAACTAATGTCTGAATGGTAAGAAATCACGTAATGCATATTAGGCTGTATAGAAGCAGTTCAAATCCAGTAAGAAAGCACTGAAGCTGTATAATCTCTTAAAAGTATCTTAGCTCAGTTTGAAACTTCTTTGAAAATGACTTTTTTAACAGTTATGCAAATAAATGCAAAATACTCAGTACAGATAAGCATAGAAATCCGCCCATCGGGCACAAATACACAATTTAAACAGGTAAATGGTAGGCAAATAAGATAAGATAAGCACATAAGGTTCGCCCCTCGGGCACAATGTCATCAAATCCGCCCCTCGTTCAAATAGCTGGCACTAGGCCCAAATATGACATTCAGCCCAAATAATGATGATAGCAATTAGTTCTCAGTCAAATACGCGGTAAAATCATCAATCGGGATGGACCAGGTCACAATCCCCAATAGTAAACGACCCCACGCTCATCGTCAACATGTGCCTCACCTCAATATAGCACTACGATGTGCAATCCGGGGTTTCAAACCCTTAGAGCATCATTTACAATCATTACTCACCTCGAACCGGCTAAATCTCTAGCTCGGGATGCCTTTGACCCTAAAATTGGCCTCCATGCGTGTCGAATCTATCCAAAATCAGAACGAGAACATCAAAA